ATATGTAAATGATATATCAAATATGTTATACCATGGTGAAATATAATAGTACCAAAAAGAAAATTGACAACATATATTCTGGAAAAACATAGGTCCTAGCCTCTAGAGTTACTTAAATAAAGCAACATTTTAAAAAAAAACAATGCAAAAAAAAAAAAAATGAACTGAATATTCATACTATAATTATATATTTTCATAGCTAATATTTACTTGCACAACTAATAGCTACTATTAGGACTAATAGTCTGAAGATAAAATCTACTGATTTGATTTAACGATAGTTTTCCAGGATACATAGACATCTTCATATGTTTGAAATATTAGGAAGGATCGCTATCATAGTAATCCCCTATAATTTATCTGATTTTATAAATAATATATTTAAGTTTTTACATTATAATTATCTAAGCATTATAATACTTTATAAATATTTCTATAATAGTTTACTATTTTTTAAATGTATTAACTTTATTATTTATAATTAATTGATTAAGGTGGTAAAAGTTTGGTAACATTATTTTAAAAGACAATATATTCTTATAATAAAGGAAAATATTGTTTTGTAGAGTCAAATTAGATTCAGTTTTCTCCTCCTTAATCTTATCCAACCTCTCTCAAACCCTAGCTTCCATAAGAGAATGCTAAAGGAGCTTTCATCGGGTTCGTCGGTGGAAAGCCCTAATTTTCAATATTTTCGTGCTTTATTTCTTTTTTTATTTTATTTTTTTTTATTTTTAGGTTTTAATAATTCCTACTCCTTTTAAGAGGATTTTCTCCCTTGAAATTTTCTCATCCTTTGGATAAGGTGATCAAGATTCAAAAGGATATAAGGTCTTTCATCAATTTTTTGATCTGAACAACTACAAAATTATAATCTGAAGGCCTCCTCTTGGAAAGATGTGAAGATACCGAAGGACACTACTTGCATTTAGCTTTGAAGCAGTGGAGATGGAGTTTTGCTCGTGTATACTTTAAATTAAATGTTTTGATTATAAAAGTTGTGTTAATTCTCTAAATATGTGTTTTGTAAATCTTGATAATCGTTGCAGATGTCGTATGACTTATTATTAATGATATTCATTTTCTGATAGAAAAAATCTAATTACTTACAAAATTGGGTTAGACAAGTCCAATAGGCATTTGTCTTGTGGCCCAATAAACTAAACATGCTTGTATGGATACCACGTTAATGAGCCTAATCATTAATCATAAACCCATTTATAATTACCCTTACATTGATTTAGAGGTGATCATTAGGCGAGTCGGGCTGGGTTTGGGTCGGGCCGAAGCTAAAAAATCATGTCCATTTTTCAGGCCGGGCCGGGTTAGGTCAAACTTCGGGCTGGATTTTTTGTGCCCAAACCCGCCCAACATGGTTTGGCCGTACGGGCTTTTTGGGCCATTTTCGGGCCGGGCCTAAAAAATCAACTAAATATGCATAAAAACGCATTCTCAAACCCGCCAAAAAATTCTGCCCAAAATCGGGCTGGGCCAACTTTGATCACCTCTATATTGATTACAACTTAATTTCCTTATCAGGTTAAATAAACTAGACCTTTAGTACAATAAACCCGTAGATTAAAGGTTCACTCTATTTACCTTTTAAAAAATGCTAGCTATATAATACAATGCCATGCTTTTTTTATTTTTTATTTTTTTTTAAATCTAAAAATTTGAGTCATATTAATTTATACATTTTTATACTCACTCTTTTTTAAGGGTTACATATTGATATACACACAGTTTTAGACAAATTAATTGATTTGAATATAAAAAAAATATATATAATTCAGGTAGTTTGGGTATTTTAATAAGAGCTACACTTTATACTTCGTATAAAAGTATATATGAGTTACTCTCTTTGTGTTTTAATAAATGTTTCACTTTTAATTTTCGGTTATATTTTAATAAGTACTCCATTTCTATTTTTGGAAACTTAAAGAATCAATATATCTATAACTAATACTAAAATAGCAACCGTTGACATCGTCCTATCCTAAAATTACACACATGTCATGTTCTCATTAAAAATTTTCCCTCCAAAACTATAAAAGATGTCATCATTTTATTATTTATATTTTTGTATAAAAAAATTCTCCAGCTATATTATAATTAGTATCAATTTTCGAAAAGCGTTTTATTCTCTCTAACAATAATAATGTAATTTTTCTTCCTCGGGTACCCCTTTCAACATTCAATTTAATTTCTATGAGGTCCAAATTTTTGTTGTAAATATTTGATGTACTATTTGTTTTGGGAATTTTTTATTTTAAATTTTGGTATGAAAAAATAAACAAATTTAGAAAATTTTATTTGTTCAAATAAATCGTGCATCGCACGAAACTAATCTAGTCTAGTGTATATATATATATAAGAGAGAGAGAGAGAGAGGAAGGCTCATGTAAGAACCCTTCTCTATATAAGAACTCTCTTGTATATAAGAACCAATCAGGGTCATTGATTGAATATGATCTAATCGTCCTAATGCAACCTTAGTAATGGAGTTTTTGTAATTTTCGTAACTAATATACCTCTTTCTTCTTCAGCTTTCCCGTATCACTTTCTCTCTCTAATATTCTCTCAGTTCTTTGTCTTTCTTTCTCTTCCTAATCTAATACTAAGAGTCTCCACCTATTTTTGATCAAATTGGCAGAATTCGTCATCAAATTGTTGTAAGTTTTGCAATTTCATCATCAAAATCTTTTTTGTTATTCGAATTTCCTCATTGCATATAATATGTTGTACAATATTGATTTTTGGGCGAAATTTCAGAGAATATGTTGAATATTTTTGCTGAGTTTGCTATTATCATTTAATTTCCGATTATTTTTGCTTAGTTTTTTAGCATTTTTTTATGCGAAATTCATCATTTTTTACCCGAATTTTGCTGCGATTTTTTGTGCGATGTTGTTGCGATTTTAGATGCGATTTCTTGTTTCAATTTTGATGCTATTTTGCTGCGTTTTTTATGGCGATTTTTCTCTAAATTTTCCCAGATTTTTTCTCAAAATTTTGATGCTATTTTACCGTTTTTGTTCATTTTCTGAGCAATTGTTTGGTCGATTTCTGTGCAATTTCGGTTCCATTGTTTGATTATTTATCTGTTCGAAAAATGCAATCTAATCGTTTGACAAATAGCAATTCATCAATTTTTTTTTTATTTTTTTTTATTTTTTTTTATTAATTGCGATTTCATCTTTTGATTTTGTTCGAATTAATTAGTTCGATTTTGGCGATTTCACCAGTTTGATTTTTTTGCGATTTCATTAGTTCGAATTTATCATTTCGAAAATTTGCTATTAATCAGTTCGATTTTTGTTTGATCTTTTTTCGATTTTTTGATACATATGTGTTCGATTATATGATTGTTCATCCTATCAGTTTTTTTCTTTCTTTCTTTCTTTCTTTGTTTTTTCTTCTTAAGGTTGGTGTATTTCAAATTTCGATTATTTGCAATTATTTTATGATTGCTTTTATTGCTACAATTTGTGTTTTCAATTTACTTACATGTCCTAAACTTTACTTACATGTTCTAAAGTTTTTTACATGCTCTAAAGTTTTTACTCTATGTTCTAAATTTTTCCAGCTATATTCTAAAGTTTACCTATGGTTTATTATATGTTCTAAAGTTTTTTCACTTAATTCTAAGTTTATTGTTTATATTATAAAGTAATTCATTATGTTCTAAATTTTTTCACTTATTCTAAATTTTATTATGTATGTTATAAAGTAATTCACTATGTTATAAAGTAATATGTTATAAGTATTTCCCTGATTTACTATGCTCTAAAGTTTATCCTTAATGCTCTAAAGTTTTCTCTGTATGTTCTAAAGTTTTCTCTGTATGTTCTAAAGTTTTCTATGTATCTTTCTCTATATGTTTTAAAGTTTATTTTTATGTTCTAGTGTTTTCTTCATATTCTAGGACTTTCATTGTATGTTCTAAAGTTTATCTTCTAGTTTTAAATTTTACTTTTTATGTTCTAATGTTTACTTTCATGTTCTAATGCAGTTGGTGTTATTTATCGTACTCCTGAGGTTGTTGGATCATTTAGCCCTGGTCGTACCACTAAGGAATGGATTCCAAGTGTTCCCGAGGAGTTAAAACCCAGTGTGGGGATGATATTTAAAGATCTCGAAGAGGGTCTTAGTTTTTACAAAGCATATGCAAATGCCGCTAGGTTTACTTCTAGGAAATCTACTACTAAAAGGAAGAAAAATAACAAAGATGTAATTGCTTTTCAATATGGAGTTTGCAATAAGGAAGGTTTCAAGGCAATAAGAAAACCTATTGCTCAACAAACAGTTGATGAAGAAGGAAAAGTTCGTATTACTAGGAAACGTTTAGTCACTCGTGTAGGACGCAATGCTCACATATGTATGAGATATGATGCCGGAAAGTATGTTGTAACTCATTTCAAAGAAGAACACAATCATTCTTTATATACTCCAAGCTGTGAAAAATTTCAGAAGGATAATAGAAAAATGCATATTATGCATAAAAAGTTGATTGTTGATAATTCAAAGGTGATTTATTTTTATGTGCTAAATAATGTTTTCTTTGTTATGAATTGTGGAAATTGGTTTGGTGGTGGAAATCCAGGCATATTATTCATGTTATAGGGTTGAAAACCGGAGTACCATCGTGCCTAAATTGGTCAAAGCCCAGGGGGACGTTACCGGGGTCATTAGTCGGACTTGAAATTGGGGGGTAATTGAAATAGGTGATTCTCTAGACCTATTACCACGGGCTTTCCTAGAGGATGATGGGTTGTTCGTGTTTGGTGATGCCATAATTAACAATAATAATAATTAATAGCAACAGTTTTAACAATAATAATAAAATAATAATAATTGCTAATAACAATTATAACAACAATAATAACAATAATAATAATTAATAACAATAATTATAACAACAACAACAACAACAATAATAATTAATAACAATAATTATAACAATAACAATAACAACAATAATAAATTAAAGATTAGTTTAGATCTTACAACCGTGCTTCAACGCTTTCCACTAATTACGATTACGAACTTTTAATTTTTTTCGATATTAAGAAATAATAATTAGAGAAGTTAAGAGATTAAGAGAATTAATAGAGAATATCAGAGATTAAGAGAAGAGATTGTGAATTTGTGATTTGGAATGAAGAAGATGGAGGTATTTATAGAGAATTTGGGAAAATTAGCCATTGGAAACAAATGAAAAAAAAAAAGAACGTTGCTCAACGTTCTCCATTGACATTTCCGTTGAGCAACGACTATATTAACAGGTGGCACGCGGGCCGTGCCTGGTGGGCTGGCACACGGGCTATAGGACGGGCTCGTGCCGGGTCGTGCCGGAAAAAACCAACTTCTTTCCGTGGCACAGCCCACGGCACGCCCGACGACCACCGTGCCAGGCCGGGCCAGTTGCCGGGTCGTGTCGTGCCACGTCGGAGTTCGTGCCGTGTCGGGCCGCCCGCAGGCCAACCCGACCCGTGCCCAGCTTTAGGTATAATCCCTTGCGCTCCTCCACCAAGTGCTGATTCTAGATATTCTGCTTCTCTGAGATGACTGTCATCATTCCATGTTTTGAAGGACCAAACCTCTCCTTCAGACAACTGAAGTATACTTACAGATGTGTTCGATATTCTAGGAAGGCCTTCAAAAGGTAAAATTCTCCTGTATAAAATTCTTATAACTTCTCCGTGTGTTACTACAATCACTCGCGCTCCTGCATGCAGTGTCAACATATTAGCTGCTTAGCTTGTTTTTCCAATATCATTACTGTTAAGATATATGTAAATATATTCTGTTATTGTAATTTTAGCTAAGCTTTTATTTAGATTTAGCTAAAATTACAATAACAGAATATATTTACATATATCTTAACAATTACTAGAAGTCTACAAGCACAGTTACGTAGAACTCTACCTCTATGTTTTTCGGCAATTATTTGCAGTGAAGCTATGCTTCTTATGTACAGTTGATCGTGACTTTCACCTCCACCCTATAGATGTACAAGTTCAAAAGCTTAGAAGTATATAAATATACATGTCTGTCTAAACTCAACAGAGTTTCAACTAAACATGAATGATGCTGCTTAATTTTTCAACTATACGTGATACATATGTTATGCTACTCCATTGCTCCATAAAAGATCGATTAATCAACTTAATTCATATCAGCAGAGATCTAATAATCTTATGATAGTAGATAATTTCTATTGATAAAAGAAATGATACACACCGGAATTTCTTCACCTGACAAGAGAGCTTCATGAGCCTTGGGGTAAGTCTTGGATATTGATTTTTCATAAACAACTCCCTGAAGCTCCCCTAAATGTCTTTCCCGCAGGTCTTGATCACATATAACCTGAGACGGAGTAAGATACGACAAGAAGAAAGCAATTAAGTTTATTCTCATATTGAATTACTGATTTTTACTGTCAACTATTGATTATTGTTGGCATACAGAGTTTTCAATCCTAAAATCAAGAACTGAAAACAAACAGTGAAACTGATTAAGGCCTTGTTTAGTTCAATTTATTTTAACTTATTTCAGAAAAAATAAGATCAGACCAGATTAGATAAGCAAAAATAAGGTGAACTAAACAAGCCCTAAGTCCATAGAATCAAAAAAACTCACCTCAAGCCCACCACATTTGGCTGCTATAGTTTCAGCAGTCTCTAGTGCCCTCTTCAAATCAGATGAGTATATACCTGAGATGTTAGGTTCCCTTGAAAGGCGTTTAGCAACCTTCAACAAAGATGATTAGAATTATGTGAGCGAGGAAGTAATCGAACACAAATAGACCAATAATACAGAATATAACTACAAAACTTACTGCAACAGCTTGCTGTCTCCCGGCCTCATTCAAGTCAATATCTAACTGTCCCTGGATCATTAAATCAAGTGGAATTGCAAGTCTGAGTACCGAGTAATAATTTGCTAATATACCTTCATAATGAACATTTTTTTCACTTAAAAGGATATAAATTTAGATAAGACTTCACCTGCATTTTTCCAACAGCATTCCATACAGTTTCACCATGACGAACAAGGATAAACTCGGTACAAGACTCATTAGTTGGAACACCTTCCGTTGTCACCCTTTACAAGTGGAACACCCAAACAAAAATGATTAAGCTTCCTTTCAAAAACCAAATCATAGAAGTTTCAAATTTTCTTGTATTTGCTCCATTTCCCTTAAAATTTCTTATATCATCAAGTCTACACATTGTATAACTTGAAATACAATATACAGTACAAAATTACTCAATAACAAACAATCAACTAAAAGAAGTAAAAATACAGTACTATAGTCAAGCAACCAGATTATATATAATGGACACATGCATGATAGTATTTCGACGGAGACACAAAGAGAGAGACAGAGAAAGAGGAGACCTGGAATCAGAGGCAGCCATTGAATATAGAAGATGCAGGAAAATGAGGAGGCTGAATGTTTGACTTCGTTATAATGAGGAGGAGGAAGATGCAGATCTCGTTAGCTATATAATGCCTTTCCTGGTTGATTTGGGGATGTTATTATGTGAACATGTCTACTAGTTTATTAAAGATAGGAAAATTTGTGTAAAAGGACTTTTTCAGTTGCCAATTTTGTTTAAAATGACCTTTTAAGTGAAAATTTGTAAAAAAGTACCTTTTAAGTTATATTATGTTGTGAGGGGGTACTAAGCTGAGTTTTGCGGGTGGTCAACGGCGGAGCTCTGGTGTTGACTCTCATGTGGGAGTCATGTGACTTTAAAAAAAAGCCCACACGTTTTTTTTAGGAAGTATAAAAATTAAATGGGTAGTTCGAAAAGGAGGGAAAGGGGGAAAAAAACGTGTGAACTTTTTGTAAAAAGTCACGTGACCCCCACATGAGAGTTAACGCCGGAGCTTCGCTGTTGATCACTCGGAAAGTCTAGCCTAGTACCCTCTCACAACATAATACAACTTAAAAGGTCATTTTTCATAACTTTTCACTTGGGTCATTTTAAACAAAATCGACCACTTAAAAGGTCCTTTTACATAAATCTTCTTTAAAGATAACTTAATTTAATGTCATAACATGTCTATTAGATGTTAATATGCCTTTCCTGGTTGACTTGCGGATGTTAACAACTCAGCTTAGTTTAACATTACCGTGTCTATTAATTTATTAACTACCTTCATTTGTTTAACAGCTGAAGCTTCCTGCAATCCTGTTGTATGTATTATTGGTGCATATATGCTGTCTTCTCGTTGACTCAGGGATATATCATATATTCATATACGTAGTCTTCTTTAGCAGTCAGGTTAAAATACTTATTATACTACTACTTGTATAAAACTATTTTAAAAAATATTGAAGAAATTGAGAAAAATCAACCTGCATTTTGCCCGTAACATTCCGATCAGTTTTGCCATGACGAACCACCTAACTCATTCTCACATTTTGTTTTTCTTTTGCCCTGTCTTTTCCTCTCTTTCCTGTGAAATTCACTGACATTGGATTTACTTCGAACCTGATAACAGAAGAGTTATCCTAAACTAGTTTAATCTAGAAACTGAAATGAAAAATTAACATATTCAATGAGCTCAAATTACCGCTGAAACAATTGCTGTACTCGTGAACAAATTGGCCTTAAACTGCGACTGATGTCCGTATAAGATTGGATCATAAAACGCCATAATTTTATATACAAGCATCACATTTACCTCTGATCTTTTCAGTATAAGAAAGAAAGAGACATTCTGCTGACTGTTATTTGTGTGTGTCTATAAATACTTATTCTAACAGTTTGTATTATTTCTTTGGTTCTTTAGCTATGTCGATTATAAGATATTCATATTCTGAAAGGGTCCTTACATCTATCTATAGCTATCGCTTACTACTTTCGTCGAACTCAAAAGGAAATAATACAAATACATACTATATACCACCCTTGCCTTTTACCAGGCTTTGGTGCAGATTTTCCAATTGAAGAACTTGGTTTTTATCCACATAATCGAGGTATAATCTAAATCACAAACCATGAGCAAGCAAATCCTAGAAATATTTTCACCCACATCTATGTGATAATCAAATTGCGATTGCATATCACCAGAAGAAATACAGCTAAGCAGCATCAGTACTGTTTTCTGGGGTACTATGAAGCTATGAATCAATGAACGTTGTGACTGTTCCAATAACTGACATGCAATCTTAATTTAAGTAGATAAATTTCCAGCTTTTTGGATCTCTTTATTTATATTTCATTCGAGTCTTTAACTCCACTCATTGCAACTATTTGAGTTTGCAATTAGCAAAACAACAATAAAGAAGTACAGCAATCCTCCTTGATACAGCAAGTCTCATCACGAGTAACTAAATAATTGAGTACCAGGAATTCAAGCATAAGCTAGCTAGCTAGCCTGAAGCATCGCCTCCACCTGAAGCCGATTCCAAATATTCTGTTTCTCTGAGATGACTCTTATCATTCCATAAATTGATTGACCACTTATCTCTCCTTCAGACAACTGAAATATACTTATAGATGTGTTCCATACCCCTCCAGGACGTTCTCCAGGTACAGCTCGCTTATATAGCTTTTCTATGATACCCCCATGAGTTACTACCACCACTCGCTCTCCTGAAATGTAGCCAGAAAATAAAAGTTAGTTCACCGGTTTTATTTTTACCTCCCCTAGTGGCTGCCCTAGATACATACAAAGTAACTACAAACAGCTTCCCAAATTAAAACATTACCTCTGTGTTTTTCAGCAATTCTTTCCAACGAGGTTGTGCATCTTCTGAACACTTGGTCCTTACTTTCGCCACCACCCTGTAGATGATGAAGTATGTTCTGAAGTTAAGAAAACTCTGAGTTCCAAAATTTTAGAAAAACTTTAGTTGGAATGTCAAATGAAATTTTGACCCAAATGTATACTGTAATTATAATTATTAATTCCAAAGTCGAATAGAAGTTAAGCAAACCAAGTCAGAAATGGTCTTTCAAACTTTTTTGAAAAGAGAGTTGGGAACCGTAAACAACTACACACCGGAATTTCTTGATCTTTTCTGGGAGACTTCAAAGCTTCAAAGGCTATAGGGTTAACCTTGGGTGCTTCGCTATATGTAAGTCCTTGAAGATCCCCTATATGTCTTTCTCGCAGGTCTGTATCTGTAACAACCTGATTTGAGACCCACATAAAACTGATGAGCAGCTGATATCCATGTATAAGTATCAGATGAGTATACTCTGGTTGAACAAATCAATCTGCATATTTTAAACTTTTTAAAATTTTTAAAAAGGTTTACATATACATTCCACTAGATTAGTCACTACAATATTTTGTTTGTTTTGGGCTTTTTTTATTTTTATTTTTTATAAACTCTTGGTTTATGTAGTATTTGATCATTCTCACCAAAATTGTCATTTTTGTTTCCTTTTTGTTATTTAATAACCACAAAATCATATTGTATTAACTATCTTATGCTGAAGCATTCTTAATTTTATGAGCTGAATAGAACAAAGAGAAAGAGGGGTATATTGCATCTCATCAAATTCAAGTCCTATTATTAGCTCCCCTGATTATCCCCAAAGAGGGGTATAGCTGCATTAATTTGATTAACAAACCTGAAGCCCACATCTAGATGCTATTGTTTCTGCTGTGTCAAGAGCCCTTTTCAAATCAGATGAAAATATAGCCGGATATATTAGGCTCCTTTGATAGTCTCTCAGCAACCTACAACCAAAAAAAAAAAAAAAAAAATTAAAAAAAAAAAAAAAAGGATTAATTTAAGGACTTCACAAGATAACCTAAATCAGTGCAGAATGTCATAACTTACTTTGATGGTTTGTTGTCTCCCAGCCTCGTTTAGATCAAAGTCCGTCTGTCCCTGGAGCATTAACAAAAGATGTAGAAATTCAAATAAAAAACAGACACCAGTTGCATATGCATGAAGCAAAAAATCAGCAGTATAATGAGAGTACCATCTAGGCATCTGCTGTTTAAAGGAGCAAAGTTTGTGCAATGCTACAAATTTCTAGTGAACATTTATCAGCCGAATTCTACTTATATTGTTGAAAAGAATAGGATACTAATATACTATACGAGCTTGCTAGAAATTCAAAATAGCCAACAATCATATTATGATATAAAGACCTATGTGAATATATAGAGTAGCTTGAATTTTGAAACAGAGAATACCAACGAAAACTGGAAAAGAAAATCATCATGTTAAATCAAGTCTATATATCTAGGACAAATGACTTATATTAGTTGATTGTCTTCTTCTTAGACTATGTTTTTACCAAATAACTATTGAACTCATCTGATATGAGCTATATGAGCTTATTAGTCCATATCAACACATTTTATTTTTGTTGTGAAAGGAACTTATTTTCTCCTTATTAAACCCGATAATTGTTTTAAAGGGAAAAAATGGACATCATTTTCATCTAATTAAATTATTGTCTCACTCACTAAAACTCTTTAATTCGGTGTATAATGTGTTTTTGAAGTTCCTCTCGCTTGTCAGTCATCACACGAAGTTAAACAATTTGTATCAACTCGCATGATGAATAGAAATATCAGTCTAACCTGCATTTTGCTAAGAGCATTCCATTCTGTTTCACCATGACGAACAACGATAATCTCTGTACAAGATCCATCAACTAGCCCTGCTTCTCCAGCTATATCACCATTCTTAACGCTTTCCACTGACACTAAATACAAACTGTACACCTAAATGGAACAACAAAATAAAATTAAAAAAACAAAAGAAAGATGACGATTTCAGAGGTAGAGAGAGAAACCTGGACTGAGATGCGTTTCAGAAAACAGCAAAGAAATGAAGAGGCTTTGTTAAACAGCAAATTCTGTTTGTTTGAGGTGACTGGCATCATTCCATGATTTGATGGACCACAAATCCCCTTCACACAGCTGAATTATGCCAACTGATGTATTAGATATTTTCCCTGGATGTTGTCCTTTGGCTGCAGCCCGGTTAAACAGTGATCTTATGGCGCCCCCATGACTGACTACAATTACTCGTTGCCCTGCAATGACAGCATACAACCAGAGCAAACGCAACATCAATTGTCCGTATTTCAAAAGATGCAACTGAAAACAGCTTCCTACAAACTATTTTCTGTAATATTCAGCCAATAAATGTATACATGTATAAAGCAAGGGTGGATAACCTCTATGGTTTTCACCAATTTTCTGCACCAAAGACGTACAACGATTATAAAGCTGATCACGACTTTCACCACCACCCTGCACACAGTGATGTTGAAAAATCATGAAAAACTTTAGTTCGTATTTCGTATTTCAAATGAGTGCACTAAACTATCAAATGAGCATAGAGTCCTTACACACCGGAACTTCTTGATCAGATCTGCGAGACTTAAATGCTTCATAAGCTTTAGGGCTAAGTTTTACTAAGTCTTGATAAACATGTCCTTGCAGATCTCCTAAATGCCTTTCCCGCAGGTCTTTGTCTCTAATAACCTGTAGTTCAATAATTGCCAATACAAAGCATTAAATTACATGATACAAGTAGTGAAACTCAGAGTAGCTTCACTGAGGTTTAGACATCAAAGATCAATCCCACACAATGACAGACATCTAAATATATACCAGCAGTGAAAC